CAATTCCATATTTCCCTTGTGGTACCCATGCCCTTCTCTGCCCTGAGGCTTGTTCCCCCCCTTGCTTATTTACTTCCTCAACTGTAGCTATCATTAAGTGAATCTTCTGCTTTTTCCCGCTCTTCGTCTCTCCGAACATATACTTTCTGAGCTTCCTTCAATAGCTCATTCATGTCTTTCTCATTCCAGTCCTCCAACTTTTCTAATTTCTGTCTAATATCTGGCCACGAATGAGTCACAAAAAAAGCTTTCGACAATTGTTGCCCTGCCGGACTGTCCAACTGGACCCCCGAATATTGTTGTATGATTTTCTTTAATCTTTCTAACCATTCAGACTGTGACTCATCCTTGGCTTGCTTTTCATCAAAAGCCTTAGCCATATTGTGTCCTCAAGGGGCTGACTCCTTAATTCCTTTAATAATGCAATTTCTGTAATCTATCATATTCTGTCTTCCCCCGTCAGTATTTTGGTCCCAGTTTGGACGTGCAATTGGCATTTTTTGTTCTCCCCCCGTCCATCTATCCCTTGGGGATGCTCCCGGTCCCAAACTTGGATTCCTGTGGTTCTAATCATGTTCCTTTCCTCTACTGAAAACAATGTTCCCAATACAGATTGCATCTCATCCCCTGTATACATATTTGGGCCTAAAAATGGATCAAATTGTTCAGCCAAGCCCAGTGGGTCCTCCAATAATTTTTTCATTTCTTTTCAAAATTCTCGTACTTCAGAGCTAGTTAACGGGGCATTTACATATCCCACTCCCCCTTGCATTCCCTGCATTGGAACTTCCCTAAGGGGATTGAGTTTTTCAGGCGCTTCAGGTGCTTCTGACTCCCGTTCTCTCCTAGCCCTTTCCCGTGTGTGGGGACAGCTTAGAGGAGGGGCTGTATCTGGATTTTGTGCCCCATTTCCTTGTTCTTCTCAGGATTATAGGGAGGAGGATTTTCTGAAAGGTTTTCTAAACGGTCCCATATTGGGCCCTTCTTTTACTTCTGGTGTTTATTAGCTCCGTTTGCTATAGAGACTGGGAATAAACCCAACCCAGCATGCAGCATAATCACTCTCTTTTGCATTAAAAGGTTCTTTTGCATTGACATAGTGATTTAATGCTCTGCAAATCCAACTCTCAAACGAGCCAAATTGAGGCCAATAGAGATAATCTTGCCTTATAGGTCCTTTTGTCCATTCGTAGATGCAATATTGGATCATTGTGGCTTTATCCTTTATCCTGAAAGCTCCCCCCCAAGGGAGGTATCTGGGCCTTCCCACCTAGCCTGAGCGTATATTAACCCATCGGACTTTGTGTTTCGCAGGCTTCCCCCACCCCTGACGGATCAAGACTTTGACCATCACTTTGACCAACAGATATTGAAATTGCATCAATCAAGTCTCGTCACGGGATCATCGGTGGTGATATCCTTTCTTTCTCTTTCTTTTCCCTTATACATTTTCTTATGTGATATTTTTATGCTTTTATATTGCTATATTACTATAGATAATAATAACCAAAACAGCTGCATACCTGTCTTCCATTGCAACTACTGAGTAGTAGATGGATGAAAAAGGTGGATCTATGGGCTTTTCCACCTGCTTTTATCTGGGATCTCTAAAGTGAATTTGATAATTTCTGCCCAGATCTGAAATGACAGAAGAATAACTAAGTAGAGATAACTGACACATGGGCTACTTCTGCTTATTATGGAAGTTTTATTTTTTATTGGCACATCTCTCATTTTTCTAATTTCTCAATTTTCACTATAAAGCTTCTTTACTATGACATGAAGAATTCTTCCAGTGGCATTAGTGTGTTATCTTTATTGCAGCAGGGGGCTAAGACCTGGTAAAGAACAGCCATAACCCAACTTATTAAGAGCATTTTTTATTGATTTACTAGACACTTGTGTAAGACCCCAGGCTCGTCCTCTGAGCTCATCGAAGGAGTTTTAGTTTAAAAATATACAAGGCTTCAAAAATTCACCTGCCGAATTTATTAAAAGGGCCTTCAGTTCTTTTATACCTTGAGAGGGCACATGGGAGAAGACACTACACACGTTTTCTCAGGAGGTAAAATAACACGCTTTTACAGGCAAACCCATACATCGGTTGGCATGTGTTAAGTCAATGCTTTGTGGAATGCTTTATTTTCGTTGAATGTTACCCTTTAAACTTTTGCCAAGTTCCCTTATTTTCTAAAGTTTGCCTGTAAAATATCAAGGAAGGAGATTTGAAGAAGTAAAGAAAGAGAGAAAAAGGGAGAATTATAGCTACCACCTGGAGTCCCATGCAAGTCCAGCTTCCACATGTCCAGACAGTAGGATCCAAACACATGGGAGACCACGTGGTTTTGGTTTTATCTGCTCTAGCCTGCTGTGGCCATCCCCCCCCAGGTGGGACTTCTGGCCCACTGGCCATTTTGGGGCTCTGGGGCAGAGTGAGGGGCAGTGTGTTAGCCAATCTGAGGCTGGTGTAGGGGCTCCAGGGGGTGTGGTATGGGGGAGTGCTCCTGGGCTGCTTTTGACTGACAGCTGCTCCAGGGCTGCCCAAGGAGGCTCCAAGGGGCTGGGGTATGGAACAGGGTACCACCTCACCTTCCTGAAATTCAACCTGTCTCTTTCCCCAGTGTCTCACAACTTGTTTAAAACAGAAATAGTGCTAGAAGAACATAGAAGAAAAATTACTTCAAGATGTGAACAATTATTAATAACAAAGAATAAGTGATGGGGTTAAAATGTAATTTTCCTCTGCTCTTGTACACATGCAATCATGAAGTTCTTAATTTTTTACCTTCTACGTATTCCATTTATCTGCTCTCAGAAATACTGAAATCAATACCATATTAACAGTAAAATAAAGTAATTCATCCTTATCTTTTGTCTGTAGTACTCAGGCTCCCAAATGCCTCCAAAATTTAGTTGGAATTAAGTATATAAATCCAGTAGATCACTTTTAAAATATATGCCTCAAATAATGAATATGCAAGTTAATATCTCAGCAAGGTATCTGTGAATTTATGAAACTGGCACCTCAAGAGTAACTGTTTTGTGCAGTCTATACCCAGAAGCACAAGCATCAGTTTATACTCATTTCCTGTTCAGAAGGTAGCTCTCATGATTCCAAAGAAAAAACACCTTGTAGTATATACTGAAAATGAACTCTGCTGAACACAGTTTAGCCCTTTTAGTTGACTGCAGTTTAAACTCCTTGGCTAAAAATCATTATCCATTTTCTTAGTATAAACAACTGACAGCAGAAAAAGAAAAAAAAAGTTCTATACCTAGATGTAAAAGGATTCTCTACCTGTGAAATTACAAATCAATGCTACTGTCTATGAGCTTAGTAGCATATAAAAAAGCAAATACTTGCATATTTTAAACCATCTTCAGGTTTTCTGCTTATCTTTTTTTAAAATCAGACGGCAAGTCTTATACAGCTCATTGAATTTCCCATCCATTTTTAACAGAAAACACAGTTTCTGCAAAGCTCTTCAATCACCTGTTAAATAAACTATTGGTGTAGTCTTGGTTTTTGGCGGAAACAAAAGTAGATATTAAGTTTCAAGTCAACTTGATGTTATTTGTACTTAGAGTAAGTTGCTATGCAGGAGTCGTATCCTCAGCCTACTACTGTAGCTTATCAGCATTTTGTTTCTTTCTTTATTTTTTTTCAGGAAGGCCATTTAATTTGAGGAATCGGTATGATCCCATATGTCGCGGTATGTTTTTTTAATGAATACTGAAAGAAAAAAGAATCCTTGTCACTTCACGCTCTGCAGCAAATACGAGCATTATGCACCGCACTGCTTTCAAAAAATTAACCGGGACAGATGGCCTAACACCAGCCTTTTAATAGACCTTTTCGACACCAAGACAAACACAACGCGTTAATTGCGTTCAGTTTACTCACCGCGGGTCGTGGCATGGAGCCCTTCATCTTGGGCTACCAGAGCGGTTCCAAGCCGGACCACCTGTAAAGCCAGTCGGCTGCGTGAAGCTCGCACCGGTCTACAACCAGTCCGCACACTAACGCGTCCACAGCACGCGCGCGACCAGCAAGCCAGCACGCGCCAGGCACACGGGATGGGGGCTCACCCCGCGGCCCAAAGACCGTATATACCGTAGTGCCTCTAATAGAAGGGAAATCTGGGTCGCGCCTCACTGAGCCACTCAAGGGCTTGTTGCGGGAACGCGTGGGTTTAGCCACCCCAGATCCTGCCCCAGAAGAGCAGCACCCCGATAATAACACTCTGGCTTCGCCCATTTCAGCCCGCCTCTGACGCAGGAGCCCAAGCCAGGCCACTCGACCCCACACGGAGCCGCCTGTAGGCACCTTCTACCTGCCCTCCAAGGCGCCTCTACCGCTTCCCAGCAGCCCTCAACTCCCGTGGAACTCCAGCGAAAGGTGGGAGTCGCTCTGTTCCCCTGGGCGAGGCGCTAGGGGCCGACCAGCCCCCACCTTGTCGCAGGTGGGAATGGCCGCCTCAGCCGTTACCGTGCTTTCCGGCTACGGAGCACAGTTCTCCTCATCCGCCCCCTACCAGGTTTCCTATCGGAGGTGACCGGATTGAGGCCGCAACGACCCCGCCCCCGCATTCCGTACATGGTGTGAGAGAGGGGCGCCGCCAGCCACGCTCCCCTTTCCCACCAGGTGAGAGAGAGAGAGAGAGAGAGAGAGAGAGAGAGAGAGAGAGAGAGAGAGAGAGAGAGAGAGAGAGAGAGAGAGAGAGAGAGAGAGAGAGAGAGAGAGAGAGAGAGAGAGACTGGAGCGCGCGCACCATTCCTCATCAACGCGCGGAACAAGCCTGACTCGGGCTTTTCTATTTATGTTTATGGAGCCGATTTGCATAAGGCTCCGCACCCCACCGTGGGCGAGACAGCCGGCACCGCCCCTCATGGCCATGTAAGGGAAGAGGGGGCGTGACCCAGGGGGTGGCTCGCGGTCTTCCTGGTGCTGTTTTATAGGGTATATCCACTTCCGCTATCTGCTTAGAAGCAGCGAGATCATGGCGGAGCGTGGTCAACTCCCTTTCCCCTCTAAGCGCCTCTGCTGCAGACCTGGCTATGGCTCGGCGTGCAGGCTGGGCCAGCGGGTGGGCGGCACTGAACTCGGCAGTGGGGCGCTCTGCGCCGGACCTTCCTCCGCAACTGCTACTGTAGCTGCTGCCGCCGCCGCCCTGGGGCTGCTACCGCTTGGAAAGACTCAGAGCCCCGAGTCTCTGCTGGACATCGCGGCTCGCAAGGTGGCGGAGAAGTGGCCCTTCCAGCAGGTGGAGGAGCGGTTCGAACGGATCCCGGAGCCGGTGCAGCGCAGGATTGTCTACTGGTCTTTCCCCCGCAGTGAGAGGGAGATCTGCATGTACTCCTCCTTCAACACTGGCGCCGAGGATCTCGCCACCGCCCCCGGGGGGGCCGTCGCCGGCACCGCGCCCGGCGGGGGCGCGGACGCCGCCGCCGTCGACGAGAACCGCCTGCCTTTTCGCAGGGGCATCGCTCTTCTAGATGGCGGCTGTGTCGATAACGTCCTGCAAGTCGGTGAGTTACCAGCCGGGACCGCGTTGCGGAGCCGGGCCGCGGCCACTTGGGCAGAGTGCTGCAGGCCTCCTCAGCCGCGGGTCATCCGTCTGCTATCCGGGGAGCTGCCTCTCTTCCTGCGCGGCCTGGCGGCCGGAGCCACCCCACCTCCTTGGCGCGTGTGGCTAGGGAGCTCCCTCCAGCCCCTCCCCCCCGCGGTACGGCCTGCACTCTAAGGCTGTAATTCGGGCCGAGCAACTTCCTCTGCCAGTCTCCTCCTCCTCACGTCCAGAATACGGAATAACTCCTTTGCTCTGCTCCGTGACGTATCCACGGCGCCCGCTGCCAACGGTCTGCCCGTTCTCCGACAGGGTGGCTGGGCACGCTGCCACTCGCCTGTCCTTTTAACTTTCCCGACGCGTTGTGTCCGCTCCCTGAAATCCAGAGTGTGTAAACCCATTTGGTTCTGCTCCCTCCCAGCTTCCCACATTTGGCAATCCGGGTCATCACCATACCCCGAGCCACAATGGCAAGGAGATGCCTCCGCTACCCCCTCTTCGGGACCGCTGGTGGAAATGAATCAGCAGAAGGCGGATGACGGGGGGAGAGGGCGGGATGAGCCGCGGTCCAAAATAAAGAATTAAAAGACGGTGGGGGCCCCGAGGAGCGGGTGTGCGGTGCGGGGGAAGCTGCAAACAAAGGCATTTCTAGGGCGGTGGCAAGGCAGAGGGTGGAGGCGCGATTTGCCCAGGCCCTACTGCTTGAGGGGAGCAGGTAGATGTGACGGCGGGGAGGGGCCCACGAATTACTTTAGGATGAGCCCCTCCGTGACAACGGCGAGGTGAGGAGAAAAGCGCTGCGCTTTCTTCTGGAACAATGCTTCCCTTCCCCCTTCCGCTGCTGCTCCTGCGCCCAGCGGCCGCCGCCTGCCACTGTTCTTCCTCCTCTGCGGGCTGGCACCCCTGGTTAACTCCTCCCTACCTCTGTTTAAAGGGCACCGGAGGTTTGTACTCTCCGCCCCGACGGAGGAGGTCCTGCCTATGTATGAGCTGCTACCCCCACCCGCAAGCAGGTCCCGTTGGGGTGGTGGTGGTTTTGTGGGGAGGGAGTTTATGGCTTCCCCTGGAAACTTCCGCGGGGGATGCTGTGCTGACGCTTTGTGCGGCCCGGGCGCATTGCTGTGCGGAGGTGCCTCGCGGAGGAGGCGGCGTCGGCGACTGGACACTTTGTTCTCACTTTCACGTTTGTGTTCTTATCTGTTTTCTGCACCCCTGCCCCCCTACCATCCCCCTCAAAGGGGAAACCGGACAAAAGACTCTTTATTGCTTCTCACTGCCGGCTCGACAGTCGGGACAGGGCGGGACGGCGGCTCCGCGTGGCCGGTCATTGTCCCGCTCTGTGCTGGGCCGGACCGTCCTCTGGCGGTCGCTCAGCTGCGGCTGCTGCTCGCCTTTTCTTTGCAGTGCCATGGGGGGCTGAGCCGTGCCGAGATGTGGCGGCAGCCCTGATCCCGGTGCTGTGCCTCGGGGTCGGAGGGTGCTGGGCTCTCCCTCGGCCTTGTCCCCAGCGGATTTCACTTCGCGGGCATCCTGCAAACTTGCCTTCTACTTTCTGAAGGGAAGGTCTGTTGCTGTTCCTGGGTTAAGCGCCTTCTGCCTAGGTGGAGTTCAGCTTAAGACATGTTTTTTTGTTTGATTGTTTTTTTGTTGTTTTCTTCCTGTGGTTTTTTTTTTTAAATTTTTACTTTTAATTTTTTTATTCTGGAGAGTTTTAAGAGAATTTAAGGGTTTTAAAAAATTAGTTTTGGGTTTTTTTTAAGTTTCTTATAAGTTTAATCTTTTGGCTTTCTTTTTTTCAAAGGTCTGAGGTGCATCTGTGGTTTCTCAGAACTGGCAAAACCAGAAGTAGGGCCTTTTTAGTTTGATTGGTAGTGCTGAGACGTTTTTTGTTTCTTTTTCCTCTTCTGCTTGTACTTGATTCTCTTTGCAAGCCATGGAGAATGACAGGAGTGCACATAGGGAGGGATTTTTGGTTGATTGCATTTAAGCTAGGAATTCACTGTGAAAATAAAGCCAAGGGGTGATAAATAAAAGATGAAGTCTCTTCTAGGATTCCCAGTGTGGGCTTGACTTTGCTTGCTTTCGGCAGTGGAATAGGCCTCAATGAGTAGTTGTGAAAGAAAAAATAGTAATTTTTTTCTCTAGCTTCAAAAGTGGAATGAGGTTGGCAAGGGTCAATGTGAAAAAAGAAAATATGCATAAATAGAACTGAAATGTTGACTGCCGCTTCTGGATTCCTTAACTGCATTCTAAACGAATGCTGTACCTACTGTTGAAAATACTTTTGGTTGGGTTTGGTTTGGGTTTTTTTGTTTGTTTGTTTGGGGTTTTAAATTTTTTGTTTGTTTACCTTATATGAGCCTATTTTGTAAGGCTGCACAAAAATAGTGGAAGCTGGTGATATGAAACATCAATTGTATTGTCAAGGGCATTGCCCAAATGCTTCAAACACTGACAGGCATGGGACATTGTTCCTGCTGTATTTAGCATGGGTGCAGCCTCACCTCTGGTACTGTTCTGGGCCCCACAATTTAAGAACGATGTGAAGGTCCTTGAATTGCCCCCAGAGGAGGGCAACAAAGCTGGTGAAGGAGCTGGAAGGCATGTCCTGTGAGGAGCGGCTGAGGACTCTGGCTCTGTTTAGTTTGGAGAAAAGGAGGCTGAGGGGCGGCCTCATGGTTCTCCCCATCTTCCTGAGGAGGGGAAGTGGAGAGGGAGGTGCTGAGCTCTTCTCCCTGGCATCCAGTGATAGGATGCATGGGAATGGTTCAAAGCTCTGCCAGGGAAAGTTCAGACTGGACCTGAGGAAGCATTTTTTTTTTTGGAGAGGGTGGTCAAATACTGGAACAGGCTTCCCAGAGAGGTGGTCGATGCCCCAAGCCTGTCAGTGTTTAAGAGGCATTTGGATAATGCCCTTAATAACACACTTTAACTTTTGGTCAGCCTTGAATTGGTCAGGACTAGAATTTTTCATTTTTTTAAGGAGAAAATGAATTGTAAACCACTTCCCATCCTAGTTTTTAAAACAAGGAGTCTTCTATAAAAGTTTTTATTGGGATGACCTAACAAAATTTTTCATTGTTTTGGATCAGTTTTCATGTTTCTCATATTTCATTTTTTCCCTAAATTCAAGGCTTTCCTTGCTCCCAAGAAATTAGTTTCAAAGTTTGCTTTCAGTTTATGAAAGTAATTCCATCTCTGTATATGATCAGATGTTTTGGTATGTAGCAATTCTTGAATTTGAGCTACTTGTCATGTCAACAACTGATGCTTGTGTGCGTGTGTGTTCTCTCTGCACTCTGAGAGGAACAGTTAATTTAAAGCAAAATCTGTGAGGGTAGGCTGAAACAATTTAAAAGTTGGCATTGGACAAATTGGTTTCCTTAAAAATCAGTAACTAGTTGCAATGTTTTGCCATATAATTTGCTTTTTTGTAATGAACCTGTTAGATCTCCCAAAACTAGAGCAGGTTTTTGTCTCCTTGAAATTCCAGTTTTTCCTTTTGGTTTACTATCTAAAACTACCTATGTAAAAAACTTCTCTTGAATATGTATGCAGCTCTTGACATGGTTTCATAACCTTTTGTGGCCTGTATCACTAGAGATATTGGCTAGTACTATATGCTGGTTTGCATTCTCCTTCTAGCTACATGCCAATGATGATTTATGTGATGCCTTTGTGATGCATTACCATGCTCTCCCCTGATGAGGTAGCAATATGCATTCAGTCTTTGTTGCCTTAGCCCCACTACTGAAGACAAGGATGTCTAAAAAACTTGTAAGTCACTATCTTAAAATAGGTTTTTTCTGACTTAATTCTGCAAATGCATAAACAGACCGGAGGAGTGTAGCCTTTTAATAGTAACTAAAGTACAGAGAATTCTTTTGTGGTCAAGTGAGAACTGGTAAGAGGCCTGCTGTAGGAGCTGAGCAGTCGTAAAGGATACTTTAATGAATTGTGTCAAATCAGAAATAGACTGAAGTGTCTCCTAATGTGGGGTTTATAACCAACGCTTTATTAAACCCTTCTGAAAAATGAAAAATTAAGTGTAAAAGAGGGGAAACTTTAACTGCATTTGAAGTATATTTTAAGATAATTGTCATGTGCACCATCACATGCTTTAAGGAGAGCTTACTTTTTTTAATTTATCTATTTTTTATTCTCTTTACTCCTTGTTGCAAGTTTATATTTGACAGTCTTGAAATATCTGGAGATTTTTGCTTTGGAAATAGATGGACAATGACTGTGAAGGTCTGGTGCTAATTGAAAGGATGCAGTAAAACAACTCAGTAAGCTTAAATTCACACTAGCAGAACTAGCTGATCAGATAAATCAGAAGATCATTTACTAAATTAATGTGTTAAAATTTCAGGTGATTTACCTTTTTCCTGCTTTATTTAACAATCTGCCTGTTTACATAAGGAATCTTTCATTGTTAATTGGTTTCAGACCTTTAATAAATTAAAGAATTGTCAGAAAAATAAGGGGGGAAATGACACTATAGACAGAAATTTCACAGAAGTGGGCATTAATATATATACTTTTTGACAAATTTATTGATGTTCAAATGATCATTTTAAAGGCTGGGCAAATCAAATGTTGCATAATTGTATGACTTTTAAGAGGTGACACTGAACACATGCTAAGTTTAACTGCTAACTGGTTACTGACAGCTGGGTAGTAATGCAGATACAGTGCGGGAATTGTGCAGCTGACTATAGTGTTTAATTTATAATGACTAATGAATAAAAAACGTTCAACCATTGAGGCACTTAAAATTCGATCAAGTGAGACAAATTTACAATCTGTAGTACAATAGAGGATCAAGTTTGCATGTATTCTAATTATTTTTGTATTTTTAAACTTGTGTTAAAAGCAAGATTTTGGGTTAAAGGCTTTTATTGTCACTGTCTCTCTCAGGTTTGTTTCCTCATGCTTAAAGTTTGATTCTTTTATACTAGT